TGAATTCTGACCAAAGGAAGAGTAGAACAGTCTACAGATACAAAATATCTCTGACGTTCCCATTCAGTTCGCGTGTAAATGATGTGTAGATATCTTTTTTCATTTGATAATAAGAGATAGCATTAACATAAAAAAGCATTAAAATAAAAAGCCAAAGTCAAGCCCTGGGTTACCCGACGCCTACGGCATCAGCTAAACATAAAAGTTCAACATCTGCAGGACAATTATACAAGATAACAAAAGTAGGAGAGTGAGCACCTTTCTTCGCCATGGTATCAGTAGCCATATTACTCTCCCTGAAAACATGCCTCAGACAAACCTGGGGAATCATGTTCACAAGAGCCCTGCAATACATAATAAGAGTGCTATAAGGGTGATGGAGATTTGAAGTAGTAGAAAGTAATTGATAAGTCAGTAGTCACACAGCAATCAGTTTCAACAATAATAGAATTAAAGTGCAAATTGATAGTAGTCTGAAGTCCATCTTTTATGGCCCATAATTCTGCAGCTAAGGCAATACTATACCCCAACGTTACGAATATATCCAAGGAACTACATGCCTTGCGAGCCGCAAAACAAACCTCCACAACTACCCATACCCTGATTGCCAATCATAGAGCCCTTTGGCCCCTCTGTATTGATGCAATTAACACATGCAGGGCTTTCCGATAATGGGCCTTTCAAAGGCGTTCGCTTTCGTAAACGTTGGTCAAGACGCCAAAAAACCTTCTTATATTACCAAATAAGTCGATGTTCGGATAAAAATTAGTAAAGGGAGGAGAGGAGATGTGAAGGAAAAGAAAAGGTTATTGCTAGTTTTATTTGAATAGACAAAAATAAATGAGAGGAAATAATAATATTTTTATTTAATTAAATAATTTAATAAAAATAAAATAAAATAAATAAAATTTTAAAAATTTATTAATTAAATAAATAGTTGAAATAAAATGTTTATATTTATTTATTTTTAAAAAAAGTTAAAAACAAAAATTATTTAAATAATGTAATATGTTTTAATCCTTGCAAATTAGAGAGATTAAAAACAAAAAATATAAGGGGTCCATCTCTTTTCATCTCCTCCTCCTCTATTAAAATTATTTATTCAAACAACAAAAGATGCTTTCTTCTTCTCACTCCCTTTCCCTCCAACTTCTCTAATCCAAACAAAATATAAAAGTAGATACGGTTCAAGTAGGTTTTAGTCAGTTTCTTTCCATTTTTGTTGGTTTATAATTTCTTTATTTTCCCATTTTTACCGTCCTTAAAATAGCAAGCTATGTTACGGAACAAAAATTGTGGAGGATTACATGAGTTTTTTCTTTATTAACATCATAAATTAGCTGTTTCACATTTTAAATATTTGATTTCCTCATCTTAACTTTAAATTAAAGTTTTAAATATACTATGCTCTTGTTAAGTATAATTTTATGATAAGGACATGAACTGTGATTCAATTCTCGAATAAAGCCACCAACTCTAATTTGCTCAATTAATAAAGTTTGTGGTTGGCTAACCACGATTGTGACCCAGTGATAAGAATTCAATGGTTTGTCACTTTGGCTCTAACTTCAAACTTGACCACTAATCTTAATTCTCCATTCTTAAATATATAGTTGTAATGTAATTACCTTATTAATAAAAATAAAAGTCTATTGTTAAATTATTGATAAAAAGTAATTACTTACCCATATGTTCAGAATTTAAACTAATATTTTTCCCTTCTCATTCCTTTCTTTGAAGATGTTTCAACCAATTGGTTTTCCATCAAGAAAAAAACATTTTTGCTTAATTAATGTCACCATGTAAATTCTATTACTCCTCTCTGTTCACTTTAAGTAGTTTTAATTTCATTTTTAAATTTTTTAAATTGACCAAAATCTCTATTTACACCTTACATATTTTTTTCTACGATCAACACCCTCTATTATTAAAACTGGTAAAAAGTTCAAAAATTAACAACCAAATCTTCTATTTGCACATTAATTTTTTGGTCAAGTCCTTTATTTACACTATCATTTCATTGGTAATTTGGGGTTCTTTATGGGGTTTAGATTATAGAGGATGTTAATCAAGATGAAAATTAGTTTAGAGTATTAACCATGAAAAGAAAAAATGTGTAAAGTATAAATAAGATGTTTGGTCTTTTAAATATAAATTTTAATGAAAATTTAACTATTTATATAAATAATACTTAAAAAAAATTGTATGAATATTTTTATTTGATAAAAAAATTTAATTATTATTTATATAATGTATTAGATTTTTATCT